AAGATCGTCAGTGGAGATTGTCTCAAAGCGAGGGAATGTGTATATGAGAGCAAGGAAGGAGGGAGGAAGGAAGGAAGGAAGGGACCGTGTAAGAGCGTGTAGCTGCAAGACAAGTTGTCTCTTGAACAAGCACGAGTGAATTTGCTACGTCAACTAAATTCATGGCGCGGAGACAGATGAACAGAATGAGGTGTGTCTCGTGAAAATGGTCGATTCGTGGAAACCATTCGGAACAGTTCCACCAACCACTCAGGCACTCTCCGGTACGCCAACTCTACTCTTCAAGGAGAGGACACTCCCTTTTTCCCTCTTCTCCTTCTTCTTTCTCCTCCTTCCGAAATGGTAAAAGTAGGGAGTTTTCTCTCGCTTGTACTCGCTATCCCATGTCAGTTTCGCCGCCGAGAGAAAAACACAAGTAGCACATTCCTTTTGCTATTGCCCTTATTCGTTGGGATTTTTTCCCTCTCCGGAGAATTGTTCACCGATCGCTGTTCTCACAGACAATTGTGCCGTGAAGTGCCGAATTCTCCGATTCTGCTCTTTCTCGTCGTCGTCGTCTTCGTCAGTGTCATTAGAGAGAGCTAATGATCTGCCGCTTCCACCTGAGCCAGCGCAGCTCCAAGCAGCCGGGCGGGCGTCTGGTCGTCCTGCCCGCCAGCGAGCAAGCGAGTCGGCCAGAGAAAAGTCAAACGCGATGAGGGAGCATCGCCTCCCAATTAATGCACAACTTGTTCTCCGGGAAACAGCTCGAGCGGTTCGCGACAACTGCGCGGCCGGTACGCTCCGACACCCGCCTAATCGGCTTCGAACGGGACTTTCTCTTGGCGATTAGACTCGAGATTCTCACCTTAAACTCGTCCGACTCCCCATGCATTCCCAATCGATCCCGGATTCCGAAGCGTCGGAAGTCGTCGGTTTCCACCGAGCCCGCTCGCGAGTCGGATTCGCCTTCGATTCGCACCTGCGATAATTCATGACGGATCCCTGCACGGCGATGGCTGTCAAATATCTAATCAAGAACCGATTTCGGGCACATATTGGGCGGGGGGCGAGAAAAGCTTTTCAGCGAAGGAGAATATCCGGGAATCGGAGTTCGGTCGATAGTCAAAATCAAACACAGTGATTCCCTCGCTGGAATAAACGTTGTCTCTCTGCGTGTGAGCCCGACCAGTAACTTTTATCTGCGCGGCTCACCGATCGGCGAAAACTCTCGGGTGCCCTCACTCGCTGGGCGCGGGTTTCTTGGACCTGCCCCGCTTGACCTAAGTGTCTAAGGAGATGTCGTCACGATGCAAACAGCCCCCCGGTGTCCTGTTATTCGTGAAGCCGCCGCCGCTACTGCTGTCTCAAGTCGTAGGCCAGCCTTTGACCCCTGCCGAGTGAACATTACCCGGACGTGACGTTATTAAAGCAACCGGGTTAGATTTACAAGCCAACGAGGAGGCGTGTGTCAGATAAGCAAGCTATCCGATCTACCTGGTAACAGGAATCTCCTGAGATGACATTCATGGAATCTTCTATGTATCTGTCGCTGTCGCTACGCTCGAATAGGAAGTCCGAGCATCGAGAGTCCCGAGCCGATACGATGGTCAGCGCTTGGGTATGATGTCTTAAGATAATGGGAATTGACCGTGTGCCTCTCTCTAGTCGATTTCACCGGGAGTCGAGAAAAACAAGCGGGCTCCGGCTCGGGGATTAGGAAGCATTCGGAATGGATAAACCGGATCCATCCAGAAGACTCTCGCTCTTCTCTCCGAAGAACTGACGCGCAGTCGACCTGGCATTGAATTCACATAGAAATTCCGTGAACGGACTCTGAGGTGTCAGAGAGGCTCATGGAGAGGATCGGTTCCGCGAGGCTACGAATAGCGAGGTACGTGGCGAAGCCTCGCGGGTTGGAATCTCGAAAATTATCCGGAATTTCCGCTGGATTTCCACCCTCCGATCGATAAAGGTCATAGAGATCACGATTCAGGTACCGGACATATCGCGATGAGGATACGGTATCCGCGCGGGGACGAGCATTGGGAAGTGGACGATTTCATCCCCGATCGACGCTTTTTCCGCTTAATGAACGCTCCTCGATCCAACGTCGGGAATGTCCGCGTCGCGATCATGGAATACAGCATATGTACAAAAACTCCCTGCTCAGACGAATTGTGAAGCTTCATACAGTAGCCTGCCGACGCCTGTGCGGACTTCAGGAAGTTGGAAGTGGGGTGAGGATTTGGAACCAGTCACCCAAGCACTTTTGTTGGTCCGTCTGCGAAGATGAATCAGATTGAATTCAGTTCATCGTGGAGACAGATTGCTCATCTCTATGCACCCCTGACGAGTGCTCCGTACTTCCCCCGAATCGGATGCACAGACAACCTTGTAGAGCTAGCCATCGAGCGAGCGAGCGAGTGAGTGAGTGAGTGAGTGAGCCAAATGGCAGGATGGCCGGCCGCTCGACCAGGTTGGTAGGCGGCAATCTATTCAGCACCGCGTAAGGGCAAAGTGAGCAGCGCAGCGGGTAGTCCAGATGTCAACGAATTTGTCAAGGCATCCATATGAAAAATTAATATACTCACTCACTCACTTGATCAGACCTGCTGTGCATCCCGAATGTTCGCCTCCCCATTTCAGATTCCACCGCGAGGTTTTTATTCGCGAATCCTTGTTTCGGCCCGTTGATGAGCCGCCTAGGGTCGGGAATTCCAGAACCAGCGCTCCTCTGCGAAGGATCGCCGTGGCTATTGAGATGACGAAGAGATTCATCGGCTCTGATTGTCAAGCTCAGAATCCATCGGGAGAGCTCCCGGGAAAGTCACACGGAGTTGGATCGTTCCTCAGACACCGCACGTTGCGGGACGTGCAGTCTTTGGACGCGCGTAAGGAGCGAACTCTGAAAGCGAAACTCTTTCGAGTAGTTGGAGACCGAGCGGTACTCACTATGGAGCACTTTCCCTCGGCGCCGTCGTTACCGTCGTTGCCGCACCAGTCGTTTGCCGGTGTTCCTCCTCACCTGAGGAGCTGGAGGGACAGAGGAAGGAATTTAATCAGATTGCTCCGGATCCTCAGCAGGGAACACGGTCTCACTCCCTTCTCGGCTATCCGACGAAGCTAACTTGAGAGTGGCATCTCTCACCGCCAACAGAAGCACATCTGCTACTATCACCACAACTGGCACTGAAAATCGACAAGGAAACGAGGTCGTCCGACTGACCGTTTGCCCGCCCGCCAGTCTAGGTAGCGGGCGTGAGGCTCTAAACAAAGAGAAGAGGCGTTTCATTATAACGATCCCACGCTGCCGAGTCCGCTCTCCGGTGTCCAGTCGACCGACCGGTCACTCAGACGGTCAGTCGGACCGCTATTGGTTTTCCAATCCGAGTGCTCGGCGTCAACACACGGCAAAGTGTTGTCCGGGCAAGATATAGTACTCGGACACTGCCTCCGACACTTCACATCGTCAATCAAGCAGAACCGGGCGACGATGTCTAAGTCTGCTAAAAACACTTTACTTAAATCGCGACTCTAAAATTTCAGACGTCAGTCACCTTGGTTTCCGTTGACGCGTTGAGAGCTCGAGGGAGGACGAGAACAGGCAGCGGGACAGGCGGAGCGCAAAACTCAAAATGCTGGGATGAACTCGCTCGGGAGAGAAAACCAATTCCGCAGCTCGGATACGCGCGGCATTGATGACAATGGATGTTCTTAATACAGTGGTGAGGCGAATCAGAGCCATGTTGCTCTTACGCTCGGCGGCAATTTCCTTAAAACATTCCCCCAAGAAGTGCGTTGAGCCGAACGATCGACGTTTTCCATCCAAAAGAATTAGTTCCTGTCGCTGCGTCGTGTTCGGCGTTGTCTCTTCGTTCCGTGATTTTCTTCTCGTAATGCAGCCCTCGTACGCTGGAACTCAACGTGCCGCTGCGACGACACCTCGCCTCTAAGACGACAGGAAGAGCAACCATGAATCGTGCAATCGTTCTACGACTGTCTCTGCTGTTGCAACGCATCGGATCGGTCGGCTCCCCAGTTGCTCGCTGAGAGCGTCGGATGATTCCCTTTCGGGAAATCCTAGTCGACGAGTATGAGGGGAATTCCAAGAAACGTACTTGCTTCGCTCAAGGCTAGGATCTACGCTTGCATTGAACGTGCTTATTTCGCTTTGTGGTTCCCATATTCAATAATTGCTCGTGGAGCGTCACTTCTGCGGAGATTCCGGGGCTATCTCATATTCTTGCGCGATGGCGTCGAGAAAGGGCGTCTGCGCGTAGCGTTACGTGATCACAGATTGATACTCCTTAGTAATGGCATGGAAACCGAAACGCAACGAAGATTAGGGATTTTACTCGACTTGACTGTCGCTCCAGTCAGTTCGTTCGTTTTTGCTGAGAAGCCTCAAGTCAAAAAAGAAGTCGGCCCGGGACTTCACGGAATCTTCACTGCCGGTGGTCTCTCGCTCTCAAGACATCTAAAATGCTCTACCGCCGTAAGAGCGTGGAAGCACGCTCCTGGATCGCGCGCCAACGGATGGTCAACGACAAGGCTGACGGAACGAAAAAGACCTTGAGGAATTACCCACGACGACATCGCTATGTCATGTGTCACACAACGGAGTGAATCAGTCGATTGTTGTTGCTCAATCGTATCGTGACGTCGCTTCCTTCGTAGCGGGAATTCACGGACATGGATCAGCGTCTGTTGGCAACCTCCATCCTAAATCGCGTAATCATATCGCGCCACGCGCCGGTCAGCGGAAGCGGGCTTAGTGTTCGATCGACAGTTTCTAAGCCCCCAGATTAGCGATGATTTCGCAAAGTCAACTATGTCGCTTTCGGTGGATTCGAGCGCAAAAGCAGTGACTGATCATAATTGTTTTGACTGAAACCTCCGGATACGTTTTCGATCCAGCTCCACCTGTGACGACGTTATCCCTCAGCAGTCTTTCCGACCGCTTTCTCTCCGCCGAGGAGAGGAAACAATTATAAGCCCTTGCTGCCGGAGCTTCGAGTGCCTATTCTCTTCCTCCGCAAGCTTAGGCAGTTCGAGTAGTTACAAGCGCCGCTGCTCATCGTGAATCGAAAGACAGGATAGTAACGCCGTTCATTATCCTCCTGAGATATCCAGTTTCGTGAGAGTCAGAGACATTGGAAATGAAGTCGGCCTATTTCTCCGTGATGTTGTGTTTCCTCGCTCAGTGTTCGCGAGGAATTCCGAAGTCAACGAACGGCTTCCATCCTGTCATCCCGTCTCCGAATCGCCACCCCATGGATTTGAATCGTCTCCAGAGGGTCGCTGGAGTCTGGGACTACCTATGGCACATATGGAAAGGCGTAGAAGACGTCATCACCAATAGGATACCACATCCGTTCAAGTGTACCGAGTGCTTCAAAGGTTTAGGCTGCTTCGATGCCTGTAACGGCACATTCCACTATGTGCATTTGCTGCCAGAGACCCCGGAAGAGATAAATACGAAGTTCCGGCTCTACCCATGGTGAGACAGGCGGGGATCTGAGAGTTTTATTCGTATCGGCTGCAAGAGGACATTGGTCTTCTGAGGAGCCTCCTTCCCTGGAAGCTAAGCAGATTTCTTTCTGGAATCAAAGGTACGATAACTCAACTGTCATCATGCTGAACTACACTGACGTGAGCAGCCTGAACAAAACAATTTTCGCCGACAAAAACCGAGAACTTCTCATCGTGAATCACGGTTTCGCAGCCGATGCGAATTCTGATTGGATGGTAGATTTGAAAAACATTGTAATCAAACAAGTGAGTGAGAGCTTCTACATTCCAGCCGAATGAGGAAATTCTCTAACCCATATGGAGATCTGTTAAGAGAGAGATTGGATGTCTCAAGGAGCTTGTTCGAGAAAGGCTCCGCAAGGTTCGCTGAACCAGCGTTATAATCTCCGTTTTTTTTGTCGTTGACAGCGGCAGTACAACGTGATTTTGGTCGACTGGCTGAACGGTGCTGGACCCTACGATTTCTTCTATCCATTAGCCGTGGTGAACACCGAGTTGGTGGGTCGTCAAATCGCTGTTCTCCTCTATCAATTGATGTCCACATATGCGCTGAAGCCTGCGACGATTCACTACGTGGGTCATTCCCTCGGTGCGCAATGCGGCCACTTCTTCGCCGAGTACTTCAAAAAAATCTCGGGAGGAATGCGGATTAAGCAAATCACTGGTGAGTTTCGTAGCGCCTGTGCGAAGGATCTCGGGTATTTGATCGAGTTCGAGAACGATTGCGCATATGACTCAAATGCATCTCGAAAGCATCGCATCACTGCCAAACGAAAAAGGTGGGACTGCATCTTTCGTTCTCTTCCAGCTCTGGATGCTGCTTCCCCGCTCTTCGAAGCTTATAACGTAGGTCTGAACGAGAGCGACGCCAACCTCGTGGACGCTCTGCATACGTCGGCGGGAGACTCCATTCTCACCGGAAAGTTAGGAGTGGTGCGTCCGATCGGCCACATCGACTTCTATCTCAACGGTGGATCGTACCAGCCTGGATGCTGGGAAGTCGGTAAGGATGTGTCGATTCGTCTTCAAATATTGCTTACTCCCGTAAATGTTTGAATGGACGCGGATTTGATTGGCATCTCTCCTCTTCATTCTCAGATCTCGTATGCGCTCATATGAGAGTCCACGAATACTACGTGGAGGCAGTGCGAAATCAGATGACCGGAGCGACATGCAAGTTCGGCTCCCACTCTTGCGCGAACGGCATCGGCGGCTATAAGAACGGGACCTGTCTGCTCGCAATCGGTAACTACAGTCGGATCGCTTACGATATCGATTCGAGGACTGGAGACGGCATGCAATACCTGGAAACGAATTCGGCTTCTCCTTTCTGCAAAGGCTGAGACCCCCTCCCGTGTCTGTATCTTTTCTGCTCGTTCAAATCTGGACTTTTCCTCGAGCAACACGGCACTGCCGACTCCGCTGGAAAGCGGCTACTGAGCGGCTCCGATCAGCTCGGCCTCCGGCCCTTCGATCCCATCTCTCAGAAGTACCGAGTACGATATTGTAAATAATAATCGAAGGCTTGTCGAGAGATCTGGAGCAATTTGTACACATGTTTCATATTCGATCAAAATACGACGAAGAAATCGAAACTTTATTTATTCACGTCACAGCCTCTCGGATCTCTGATAAATCAAAAACATTGAGGATACTCGTGCTTATACTTTGACCGCTTCATCTCGGGCTGTAGCTATGGTCCGAGAGGGATCGGGGCGAAGTGCATGAGCAGCGTCAACAGCGTATCAACGCGTCGGTCGAAGCTGAGCTGCCTTGAATAGATTCGGTCGGGCTTTGCTTGCTCGTATTACCCAGTAGAACGGCAACTTCAGAAGAAGAAGTCTTACATTTGGCTCTTCAACGACAACGAGAAGCCAATGAAGGAGAAGGGAAGAACCCTTTGGGCGGGAAAGTCTTCCTTTGCATCCGCTCCCATCGTGGTGACCAGGAAACTCAGGACGACACAGGCAGTAGGAACAACAACAACACCGACAGGAGCAGCAGCATCAAGCAAGCAGGCTCTCGATAGTAAATTACAATTAGGCTGAGCTGTGCTCCTTGAGTCTCGAAGCAATGAGCCGTTCATATTGTCTACCAATACAAGTCTTTTCGTTCGTGGTCCATCCATCGGTCTGTCTGTCTGCCCGTCCATCCATCCCTTCGTTCATTCGATGGCTCTCTCGTCCCACCTGGGTTCGACCCCAAAACTCATTTCAGACTGTGTATCAGAAACCATATTTACGACCCAGGAGAGCAGCAGCAGCAGCAGCAGCCTTGAGTGATCCAAGTGGATTGTGATCTGCTTATTATAAAGTATACAATGAGTGAGCCAGCGGTGGTGACCTCGTTGCTTCGATGAGCCACGGACCAATGGGGCCTCAGGACATTTCTCCACAGCGGGCCCTTTCGCTCGTCGTTTCTGTCTGGCCGAACATGAATGGTCTAATTCTTCAAGGATTGGAGCTCGTTTGCGCCCTCGCTCCACCTCCCTACGTCGCGTACGTAGCTCAGATGAGCCATACGTCACGACAGGCGCCGCCTCAACCGTAGAAATCATAGCTCGCTAAGGCCCGGATCCATACAGCTCGACGAGGGAGGAGTTTGAACATACGAGGGCCCGATATGGACCGTCGCGGAGATGTTTTGCGCAAGTCCAAATCAGGAGATGTTCTGCTCCTGACCGAGCAGCCCGGATCCCGGCTAGAGTTCTGCCTCACATTGGTGCCCTATCTGCATCCATTTCAGTGGACGCAATGCCGTCCATACGGTAGAATGAAATCCAACCGAGTTCAGGAGAATTTTGGCGAGATTTCACAGGAGCATATTGAGAGAGGGAAGCCTTGCTCCTGGAGAGTTACACACTTTATCCTCGCCGGGGCAAATATGTAAGGCCTTCCCAACGGTATTCGCCGGATGGGGAGGGCCTTTTCCGACAACATAATTCGGGTCCCTCATAATCCCGAGCTCGCTCGTGTCGGATTCCGCGCACGAATCGACGACACGAGGCCTAGCAACCTTAGACTTATGTAAAGTATTCAGATATTCGTCATTTGACAGACCTGTCTCCGATGAATTTCGGTATTCTGCTTGTCGTCGAGCGGAATTTCGTACGATTGTGACCGTGTGGGCAACTAGGCAGGTAGAACATCGGCGGCGATGGTCGATCCTGACGTTTCGTCGAGTGATCGGGAGATTTATGGTGGAGCCAATCTCATTACTCGCTGTCACTTGTTCCCAAAACATTCCATTCAATGACGGCCGGTTTTTATCTATGCCAGACTGGCCACTGTGGACACCGCTCCCTCGCTAACTGAGTGTGAGACACATGTAGCTGGAAAGGCATTGAGCATTGAGAGGCGTCCGCATATTCACCTCTGATAAATCACGTCCTCTTTCTTCTTCCGTCCCCTGTCCCTCCGACCAATCTGCGTTGTCAGTGAGCTTGCTGTGCGAAGATATGGGTGGACGGAGGGATGGATGGATGGATGGATGTATCCGCTGGAGAAGCCTGCCGGGGGGGGAATGCGGAGCTATTCGCGCCATGAATGCTGGGGATTCACACAGATATTGGTTGCTGTTCCGATTGTCGCCGCCTTATTACACGGAGCATTCCTGAATCACGGCTTGATTTTTCAGAGGATCGGACAACCGATCAATCGAAGCTGCATGACAGATGGGGAAAGGCGGATTGTCGAATGCACCGCTGCTCGTGAGCTGTTGCAACAGAGAAGCGCACTCGAAGCATTGGGGAACAATAATTCGAAAGGTTTTATTGAGTGAGGCGATAGGATGAACTCGAACGACTCGTAATCTATGCCTCGTTCGTTGTTGTTGTCGCTACCGATGCTGCTGCCGCCGCCGCCGCCGCCGCCGCCGTCGTCGTTGCTGATGTTGTTACTCGCACTGGCGTTGTTTGTCCCCGGATAGCAGTGACTTCAGGGACTCCTGCTGACTGGAAAGAGCATCCGTAGCCGTTCGTATGAAAGCATGCAGGTTGACTGCTCCTATGCGAACTCAGTCAGTCAGTTAGTCGGTCGGTCGGTCGGTCGATCGGCCGGCTCGCTGACTCGCTGCCTGTCTGGTCCCTATAGGTGGCACCTGCCATAAAATAGCCATAAAGCCCGCCATGAACATAAACTCCAAATTCGAAACTTTAGCTGCTCACAGCTCAATCGGACGGCGCGGCGGCCCGAAAAGCAAGACCGGTAAGACTGATCCAGCTTGATCTCTATCGGGTCGCACTGAGTCGGATTGCAGGAGCGAGTCCGACTGCCGATGATAATGCTTAGAACAAATGCATGCATGCTCGCTCGCTGGCCTGCTTGCGCGGCAGGAACCCGCCAAAACGAAGCAGATTTACATATGACACAAGCAAGAAAAAGACTACAGACACGGGATTAAGCATAAAAACCATCGGAGTCTTCGAGCTCTTCGACTCAAGTGCGGGACACCCCCATTCGCTCACACTCGAACTAACTGACTGACTGACACACCGAGCGACAGACGGATGAATAGATTCACTGGACTAGTAATCTAATAGTCAAGTTCCGATGCGAATATCAACTTTCTCCCGGAATACTGGCGGGATTAGGAGCCGGCTTCGGGCTCCGCGAAAAGGGAGCGGCGAATTGTCTTCGGTTATAGTTTGCTCATCAGTCATCAGCGATGGAATCACTTCTATTTCCATACGATATCATTTATTCCATCCGATGGAAGCGATAATTGAGACTCGCTGCGATATCGTGCGTACGGGGGCTGAGAGGCCGAAACTCCGGGCCGCGAAACTCCAGGGTCCGGATCCTCAAGCCCCGCCCAGGCTCCTCCTCTGTGGCCGACCAATCGCGTGGCATGGACCCTCCTTGGAACTTTATCGTGCATTATTGAACCGCACAGCCGACGTCTATGATGCAGAAAAAACTCTGCGATCCGGAAATACAGCCAAATCCCTGGATCGACCAATCTAGGTCTGCCGCTGAACACGCCTAATTTGTCGAGCTCTTTGCTGTGGACGCTCTGCACCAGCCACTCGTTGGCCAGGACTCTGGCCGCAGCCGGGACAAAGCAGAGCAATTATTTTGACGTCGGATAGGCTCGAGGAAAATGATGATATCAGTAGTATTCACTAGCTGCCCAGCGACTTCGCGGGGGAAGAGCTCTAAATTGTTAGATCGGAAGAGAGAGGCAATCAAGTTGCTGTCGACAAGTAGCAGGATCCACGTTGAGTTGGCTGCCTTCCCCGTCGGAATCGACTCGCTGTCGGTAAGCGACTTCCTTTGCCCGTTTGTGTTTGCCTATCTGACTGACCAGTCGACAGATCGAAAGGCTGGCAATGGCAGGAAGGCCCGACAGCAAAAGCAGTGCTAGCATAGTCAACGTCTGAACGTCCGTCCGTCCGTCCGTCCGTCTGTCTATCTGCCTGTACGAAGGGCCCATGCATCTTGCTGCAATCAACGAACAATCGAGAAACGGTCGGCCATCGGTGGGTCTCTTCTTTGTGCATCAAGCAAACTTTCTAATACCCTTTGTCCACCCCTAATTCTCACTCCCACGGGGTCAACTGAACGAAACGAAGCTCGTTACTCGTGATATGGTGCAGCCAGCTCTGTCGTTGCCCGATAGGTACTAGATAGTGTTTCGATGGCTGATGAGGTCGGCAGCGAAAGAATTTGAGCTCCATACCACCGACCCAGCATCGTTCTTTCGTATTGGCTGCATCGAGACACGTCGTATCACACCTATGGAAACTTCGCGCGCGCTCACGCCAGGGCGATTCATCCCATCTCGAGCAGAAGGTAGGCTGCGATGCGTCATGCGATCATGTTGGGATCGGACGGATGCTTGGACGCCGTTCCCACGCGGTCGAGAGACAAGAACGTTCGATGCGCTCACGGTGTCTTCACTCAGATAGTACGCGTGGCTACCGCGATGGACACACTGGAGTCTTGTAAACAGAGCATTGGCAAGAATTCCGTTTCATGTTTCCCCGGTCGCTTCGAGACTCCACGATCTTGATGCTTCGTTAAACTCACTGATTACGACAGGCCGCTCCGCTTTGGTAGATTCTGAGCTTGTTCGCGAATTCGAGGCGCGGGCCGCCCGTAAGAGTGAGCGGGCTCAAATTCAAGCCTTTATCGACTCTTGTTCGTTCGTATACAGTACCACTCCTTAATTCGCTTACCGAGCTTGGTAATTAAAGGCTCGTACAGCCCCTACACGGATTTTCCGACATCAAGCAAACTGCGAAGTTTATCCCGAACGGAGAACGAACAAGCAAACACATTAATGAACCCGCCTCTGAGCATACGGACGAGCCAAATCACAACAATCGATGCTGACTCCTCCGCCTATCGCATACAACACGATCTGGATGCACGAATCGCTCGGTACCTCGGTTCGGTCGGAGGACAGAATGCTCAACGGCGGAGGAGCCCTACCCGGCGATGGTAATAACGTAATATCGTAATGACTAATGACTAATGCTTCTCGGCCGCGGATTTTCTCCAGGCTGAGGAGATTTGCCCTTGGGGAATGGAGTCCTCACGGACGGACGACTCCGTGGATAGCCGCGAAAATGCCCCGTACGGATTCCCAACTCGATAACTACCACGAAAAAAGAACACAGCTCGTGATTTTATTTACATCGCGCAGTCGTCATTATTTATTAGAAGATCGCTTAACTTAAATCTATTAAGTACCTAATGCGTATAATAGTTTACTTTTCCCTTAGATTTCTGTATTACTCTCTCCTTGTTCATCATCTCCACCATGGTTTTCTCCTTTCCAGTTTCCGTCATCGTTATAATCATAGTTATAATAAGAATCATCAAGATCCGCTGTCATCACTACTCCGGCAGAATCGATGAACTACTTTCCACATCATGGTCCCGTTGAGCTCGTCGTGGGGTCGATGGAAAATGGTGGTGATAGTCTCGAGCGACGGGAGGGGGCTCGATGTTGATGTCGATGACGTGGTATGCATTTCGATTGATGCTGCTCGGTTTCGCGAACATTTTCCTCTAGCGGATTCTGGTCACAGCGTGTAGTTTTCCACGGATGGTCGGGTGATTGAATGCAATCAACGCTAAAAGTAGAAGGGGCAGCTACTTCATAGAGATTTAGCGAATGCTTTCACTGTGAGATGAAAATGGGGATCATCGCCGTTTGGGTTCCCGACTCAATCTTTATGAACATCATCATTCATCGAAGTGTTCACGTCGTCATGTTCATCGGACACTTCGTTCAAAATGGTCTCCGAAATGACGTCTCTCCTTGCTTGGTAGCTAAGATTCTGTATTGTCATTTCAATGAAATTCGGTATTTACACGTAGTAGTGGTATTAGTAGTAGTTGTCGTAGTAGTAGTAACACTATATCACAATAATAATAAAGTATTATTAATTCTCAATATCGGGGGTTCAAAGACATTATGATTTTAATAAGTGGTGGTTTGTAGTGCTGAAGACGAAATTTGGGGAGAGTTGTGGGAGTGGGGGCTTGGTTGGGTGGTGGGCGGTTTGTTGGAAGGTTTGGTGGCTTTTTCTCCCCTAGTGGAGAAGAGTTCGATGGGGAGGGGAGGGAACTGGAGGCGGAGAGCACAACAAACGGAGTCAAATGTACCGATGTCTCTAAGAAGTGGGATCCAGTCGCTAATATCTTTCATTCGCGGCTCCTCGGGAAGAAAAATTCTCGAGGAGCGATCCGAGAGGTGTTTTGAATCTTTCTCCGCAGCGCGTTGTTGACCGATCTGCGGGGCTTGGGATCGTGGCTGGTTGCCGGCTCAAGATCGGCATCAACGTCTCTTTTCAATCATCGCTGGCGTGATCGTTATTCCACCAATCTCTTTTGATGTAGTGAATACATAATTAGAAAAATAATAGCGTGATGATAATCTCGTCTCGTTGAAAGAAAGAGAGTTCTGAGGGCACTTTCGCTCCACTGGGTCCTCGGGGCAGCGGTGACCTTCGTGGAACGATGCCGAACTATTTGAGGAATTTCGTCGAAGGTCGAACTCCGGCTCCATTTCGATGGATAGAAGATACCGGAAGTTCTAGGACGTTCGAAGATTTCACGACACTCAGAGGATTCACGACGTTCGGAGGTTACACGACCTTCGGAGGTTCACGACGTTGCTCCCCACGCAGATAGTGCGTCCGTTTGCCTGCTCATCTGTCGGGATTCATCCTTTCGAGCTAACACGCGCTTTCTTGACAGATCGACCGCTAGGAGTCTTCTTGTTCGAATCGACTCCAAGTAAATCATGATCATCATTATCATCATCATTTTTTCACGTTTCCAGTCAAATGTATATCAATAAATTACATTTACACGTTTGTACAAGACAGAAAGAGAAGAACATGGTCACCGGAAAACAAACCAAGCCTCGTCTGATATTCTGACACGCGTCGTGCTTGCCCGCTCTAGGGATGCGTCTAATCGCGAGTTTTCAACCTATCAGTCTACTGTTGGGCTGCTGACCTGCGCTCTGAGCGCACTTATCGGGTCTTCCGGATTGTGGTTCTCGTTCGGAGAGCTTGAAAGTTGGACAGAATTCGTTTTTCCTAGTCTTCCGATGGTATCGGACCTCAGTTTCGCTCGAACTGTTTTCCTTCAGCGACGTCGGCGGAGAAGGCATAGCTGTCAGTTTCTTTCGACTCTTCCTCTACACGTCTCGCCAGTCGTCATACTCTCCTCGTTCAATTATTCTCTGTTCCGGCTTGCTGTGGCTCTCCCAGCGTTCAAGACGCAGCTGGTGTCTTCTCCTTGTCACTCGACCTCTGGCTAGAGTCCTTCGAATCTCTGTTGGTCGAAGATTCGTCACCGTCCTCGCCTTCCTCCTTGTCTCTCGGAGGCGGCTGGGGCACGGGGGTGGCGGACTTACTGGAGCTCGGACTCGGAGCAGCGGACGATTTTGTTGAACCGACGCTACGCGCGGGAGACACTTGCCTCTTGGAAACACTGTCGGAGCGTTTTTTCGAAGAAGATTTCTCTTTCTCCTGCCCGTTCACCGTCTGGTTGGCGAGAGACGCGAAGCTCGACGAGGGCAATCCGGATCCTCCGGGTTGGAGTAGGTTTGACGGGAGGCCCGAACCCGACAACCCAGTCAGTCCTGTGAGACCTGAGAAGCCAGGGATGCCTAGGGGATAGCCGGCAAGCAACCCTGCCGACGGATACAGGAAGGGGAACGAAGCCATCGAATTCAGAGACGAAGCGGACGATGACGACGCAGACGAGGCGCCCTTCTTCGATTTGTCCGATCCTCCCGAGGATTTTTTGTTAATTTTGTCCGCGGCTTGCATTGCCTGCGAGGCGTTCGCAGCCGCGGCAAGGGCTGCCGCCGCATCGAATTGGCTCATCCCGGGCAACATCGACGAGGTTGAGGACGCGCTCGAGGTCGGCGTCCCCAAGCCGGGAATCGGGAACAGGGGATTGCCCAAGCCCATCCACGGCAAGAACAGAGGATTGTTCGCCGCGGCAGCGGCAGCAGCTGCGGCGGCTGCGTTGGCTTTACTGCTACTGCTGCTTGCCATACTTCCGCCGCCACCACTATTACCGCCGGCACCAGACGTGCTGCTGTTCGAATGTTTGCTGCCTTGAGACTGACTCACTGAGGTGGACGAGGTAGTCTTTGAAGACGCTGAACTGGTTTGGGCCATGAGATATTTAAGATCTGGTAGACCTGCGAGAGGGTTCATTCCACCGAGACCGGCTAAACCTGAACCGGGCATGAGGCCGGCAGCGGCGGCCATGAACGCCGCCGTCTTCGGATCCGAAGCGAGGCTGCCGGTGGGGTCTAGGCCTCCTAGAAGACTGGCGGCTGCTGCTGCGCACGATCCTTTGGAATCTTTTTTGTTGAGCGCGGCGAGGAGACTCGCCGTCTTCGGGTCCATTTGGAGGAGGTTTGAAACCGCTTTCGGATCCTGACTCTGGAGGCTGGCGAACAATGCGGCCGTTTTAGAATCGCTCAACGAGTTAGAGAGGTTCTGCCTGCTGGAACTGCTTGAACTTCTCGCTTTCGACTTGCTACTCTGTTGGGCGGCCGACGCTGCTGCCATCGAACCGAGGCTGGCCAATGAATCGGCTGCGCTGGCACCTGCCAACGCCGCTGCGGAAGACGAAGTTCGGCCGTGCAGACCGACCGAATTCATTCGCTCGTTTATCAATTGATGCCACCTGGGCTCCACTTCGAACATCGGATTCCTTTCCAGCCATTCTGGCAGATGTTTGAGAGGTGGCGCTTTACTGCCGGTGATCTTTTTACCGGTGAGCTTGTTGACGACGGACACGTTTTCTTCGCCAGTCAATTTGGCTGGGTCTAGCTTCGACGGATCGATGCTGCTGGACCGACTGCTTGATCCTGAGCTTGACGGGGATGACTGAAGACTGCTCGATGATTTCTGACTCAACTGACTTGCTGAACTATTGCTCATTCCTGACAGTCCTGAGAGGGGGAGGGAGAGAAATCGTTAGCGACTCGTCGGCTTCTGGAACTCGCCACCAGGAATCGATCGATTGCAAGTCGATCGGGGGGCATCTCCGGAAGGGACGATTATTATCGTTCGGTTGGCCGTCCAAATATTCAAATACACTTACCTGCAAGAAGATCCATGGACGGATTTCCGCCGGCCATGGCCGCTGCCATCGCGAGTGCCAAAGCCTGTTGGTCTGACTTCGACGAAGCTCTCGAAGCTCCGGAGCTGAGGGCAGCCGCCATGATCTCGGGGTGGGCCTCAAGCATCTTCTTGAAATCGGCGCTGGACGCCATGCCGCTACTTGAACCGAGCTTGGATTTCGACTCTTTACTAGTTGATGGGCCTGGACTCGAAAATAGCGAGGCCGCGTTAGAAGCGCCGCCCGCCATAGACGATGGCAACATTCCCAGCAGCGATGATAGAGCAAGACTTGGGTTCTTCGAAGAACTTGCACCTGCGACAAGAGGGAGAAATTCATCGACGGTTCCATGGAACACTACGATTTCCGAGGATTATTTCCCGGGGTATAATTCATGGTGGAGTCTTAAGGAGAGTATTCGTAATTCCGCCTATACAGACCTTTGTTCGCTGCGGCGAGCTGTGCCTGTGCCATTGCCATCTTAGCTAAAATATTATCCGCGCTTGCCGGAAGTTGGCTTTTGCTGCTGCTGGCTTGATGTGCAGCTGTCGGTTTGAGCGCGTTGTCCTGCACCTGCTGTGCAGTTTTGTCGGAACTCTTAGAGCCCTGATGAGCCGCCGGAGGAGTGCTGGACATTGCTGACATACTCGATGCGAGGCTATTCAGGCTACTGCCACTGTGCTTCTGATGGGCTTTCGGAGCAAGCAACGATAGAGGGGGCTCGGAGAGCGACTGAGACAGCAGGCCCTCGTCGGACGAAGGCGGCTGCTGGACTCCGTCCCCATCTCCAGAACCCCCGCCAGACTGTTTAAGCTTTTTGGCTTGCAAGTTGAGCGCCAACGCGTCAATTCGGAAGCCGCCTTTCTTTGAGGAGCCCGAGCCACTTCGACCACTGGTGCCGCCCCGGGCTCCGGCCGCCGCCTGTTTGTCTGTCGGGTCTGCCGATGATGACTTGTCCTTCACGGGATTCGCGGAACTCAGGTCAAGAATGGCTGCCGAGCCTCCTTCGGAAGCAGATGATCGTTCCTTCTTCTCCTGAGACGACTCGGATTCCACCGAAGACTCGACAGACGCGGGACGTTGCTGTTGTTGCGCTTGTTGCTGATCCTTGTTGGCAGCTGATTTCTGGAGGCTGCTCAGATCGAGCATATCGGTCGAGCCGCTCTGACTGCTACGGTGAGATTGGTGCGCCGGCGGCGGGGTATCGTTGGATAATTTGTCCTTCGATTCGCTCTTCGCCGACTGATCCTTGCCACCACCCCCACCGCTGCTGCTGTTGGTCGACGGATTGTTGAGTGCGGAAGCCGATGATGAGCCGTGAGCGTTGCTTGAGCCGCCCGAGGATAACGCGCTCAACGCTGAGCTCGAAGCGAGACCTCCCGCCAGCGAGGGTAAGCCAACCTTGGCCATTTCTGCCAATGCCTCGGATGAAGGGGTCGGAAGCGAAAGAAGTTGTTGGAGTTGCTTCAGCTGGTTACCCTGTTGAGCGAACGAGGCCGATAGCATGGCCCGGAGTTGCGCCGTGCGCTCGTCCTCCTTGTCCCTTCCGCTCCTTCCTCTCCTTCCAAGCTTCATTCCTGTCGGATTCGACAGCATGCTCATGGCTGCGCTGAGAGCCGCCATGCTCGCGGCATTCATACCGGCGTTGCCGAAACCGGTCATCATTTCAAGACCTTTGAGGTTGAGGCCCAGCGACGAATGACTATCCAACCGATGTGAACTCGACGATTGTTGCGAAGCTTGTTGCGCGGCCTGCTGTGCAGCTTGCTGCTGCTGCTGTTGTTGTTGCTGTGCAGCTTGTTGTTGAGCGGCCTGTTGCTGAGCAGCTTGTTGCTGCTGGGCTGCCTGCTGTTGTTGTTGGGCTGCCTGCTGTTGTTGTTGGACGGCAGCGGCGGCGGCTGCCGCGGCAGCTTGTTGCTGGCGCTGTTCTTCCTCGAGTTTCTCGGGATCCACGAGAAGAATTCCCGCGACTTGCTCGGGCCATTGACCGTGCTCGGCCGCATGCACGACCAACTCGAGTCGCTTGCGCATCAGTTTGTCGTTCGGCCATAGAGAAGGCTGCTTGGCTACGAGCTTCGCTACACCTTGCGCGTCCAGAGCATCGATCGCTGCGATCTCTTGGGGGGTGAGAATGCTACTCGAAGATTCGGGCTCAGATTCTGGTGTTCCGTTCTGTGAGAGCTTCTCTCGCTTGGCATCGCTGGCTTCTTCCTTCGCTACGGGCTTCTCTTCGTCTTTCGATGGCTTCTGTTCGTCCCGATCGTCTCGCTTTCGTTTGCTCGATTTACGAGTGTCGATCGGATCTGATTTGGCTTTGCTGCCGGTGCTGTCGTTGAGATCCTCGTCGGTGTTCGAGGATTTCTCCTCGTCCTTCTGTGGACTTTGTTTCTCCGTTTCCTCGGCATCCGAGATGGCTGCGGCGTCTGTCGTTGCTGTGGTTTCCGATGAGGCGGTGGCGGCGGTGACGGCGGTGGTCGTGGTCGTCGCCTTGCTTGTGGTCGTGGTGTCTTTATCGTTGTCTGCCTTCTCAATGTCATCAATGTCCTCTTCCTTGATCTTCCGATCTTTTTCGTCCTCCTCTTCAACAGGCTCTTTCGTCTCTTCGGTCTTCTCCTTCTCAATGTCTACGTCCATCGCCTGGTCATCGAGTCCGATTTCAGGCGATTTCGGTGAATCTTTCGTTGCAACATTGTCTTCTGCTTGCTTTTCGACCTGTTGCTTGCTCGATGATTGATCTTCTGATTCGTCTTTCATCTCTACGTCATCCTGAGAGTTGTTGCTCGTCGATTCTTCAACGTTGTCCGCTTTCGCGTCTGATGTTGTCGCCTGATCTTTCTCCTCCTGCAATTTTCGAAAAGAACGCGGATGCTTCAGATGGACCCCGTAGAGCAAACTGCCAAAACCCATGTGTATACGACCTGCGAGGAAATCGAAACTTCTTCCTACTCACCGACTCGTCCAAAGGTTCAGTGCTGTCGGACTTGGGAGATTCGTCTCTCTGAGACGCCGGCGCGGCTGTCGACGCGGGTGTGGTTTCGGTAGCAGTAGATCCAGCTGTTTCTGTCTGGTCTTCTCCGTTGGCCTTGACCTCTGTGGCATCGTCGGATGGATTGTTTTCTTCTTTGATGTTTTCGGTTTCCATCGATTCTACGGCTTCCTGGTCAGCCTCCTTGGGGCTGCTTTCGGTTTCGGTGTTGTTCTTCTGCAAAGACTCCTTGACGTCTTCCTTCAATTCTTCGCCGTCTGCGTTCTCGCTGCAGCTGCTGCTGCTATTGTTGTTGCTACAGCTGCTACTGGCGGTCTTGCTCTTGTCCTTGCTTCCGTCCGGAGCCGTATTCTCATCATGCTTTTGTTCTTTCGCTTCCGATGGAGGATTCTCCTTCCGGGAAGACTTGTTCGAAGTGGCTTGATTGTTCCTACCGCTCTTGTTGAGTAGGGCCGCGTTCTTCAGATGTTCTTTGAGCGTGTTCAGATAGCTCACGGTCGTGTCGCACATCATTGCGTAGTCGAGATGTGCGAGGCCATAACGTTTTGCGATGACGATCAGCTCGGCGTCGTGACGTCCACACACCCACCACTCAGGGAGCTCCGGGTCGGGTTCGCATCTCGTGCGCAACCTTTCCTTGAGAGCTGCGATGCTCAATGGGGTGGGCGTCAGTTTTTCGCGGATCTTACGGAGGAACTCAACCCGATGGTAAATGTTGGACGCTCGTTGTTCGGACATCGCCTCGACCGAATGAACGGCAGCGGCTTGTTCTTCCTCTGTTGTCGTCTTGGCTCGAGGATTCATGCAACGCTTGAGCATGCACATGAAAGCCTGAGAGAGAATGAGAGAGCTCAGTAAGTTGCGCCAGGGATCGGCAGACATCAGTTCGAAGCTCCGAGTTTATCCCCGAGACGACGAGACATATCCCGCTCGAATCCCTAATGATCTCGACGACTTCCGGCTCTTATAGATTAAGGTCACAATTTGGGGGCTTGTCGTTCTCACCATGTAATAGAGCGTCAGCTGGATGTCGCTCTTCTTGTCCAGCTTGCCGATGCCGGCGACCCGTCTGAAGGCCTCCCAGCGGAACTCCTCTTTTTCCGGATCGTAATCTACCCCGTACACCGAGAGGGTTCGGATGAACTCTGACTCTTCCCTTCGCGACCACCTCGGAGCTTGTCCGGTGGCTGCAGCCACCAGGGCTCCCGTGAACAATGCTTGTTTCGAGGTGAGCATGGGACGTCCGAGCATATTTGTTGAGCTCGTTCTGGAGTCAAACCTATCCGAACGCCGGTCTCGCTGGAAAATTGGAGAGAACTCGATCAAGACCGGTGTTCAGCGATGCTCGACGAGACGAGAGATCTCGGAAACCGGATCGATCAAGGGATTCCGTAAGGATCAAAGTGTTCTTACCATTTTATTAGTGTTTTGCAGTTCGAGGAGTTCTCTTCGTTTGTGCTCTCGCTGATAGGCCGTCACAAGTCGACGCACACGCTGGTTGAGGTCATTGGTACTGGGAAGGACTTTCGTGGGACCTTCCTCTTGAGTTTTCTCTTCGTCCACCTCTGGCTCAGCGGGTGTCTCGGCCGGCGCATCGTCCTGATAAATGGAAATGAAATCACACGAGTTAGGAAAAATAACGGGAAATCTGAATAGACTATGACGGCATGCGTTGAGCTGAGACCTTGACGACACGAACCTCTTTCTTGATTTCGACAGTTTCCTCGTCGTCATCGGCTGCGGGTGTTGCAGCAGTCGGCGTCGTCGTACCGGCGGTGGTCGACGCCGCGGTCGCTTCCTTGGATTTTTCCTCATCGTCTTTGAGATCATCATCGTCGTTTTTACGTTTCTTGGCCTTCTTCTTGTCCTTGAGAGAATCCGAACCCTCCTGGCTGTTGTCCTGAGTATCGCCCTCGTCTTCGAGATCGTCGAAATTGCCGAGTTTCGTATTGTTGTTCTTCTCGGCTCCGGAAGGCGCGCAGATGCAATTGAACACGAGCTCGGGATCTTGTCTAACTTGAGCGTATCGTTCGTAGCCGTGTTTGAACACTCCGACGAGAAGATGTTTATCGCACTGTTCCGTCCACCACGGGGCAGGGGGATCACCGTCGGGATTGGGCACTGTTATCATACTCGAGTCGATTTCTTCATGGCTGACGCTATTGCCGCTGAGAATTTTCTGTGCGAGGGGCTCCCCGAGGATATGGTTTTGTAGGTAGTAAAGCATCCGGATCCGGAGCAGCACCTTGTTTGCGTGCCGGTGGAGGTGCTTGCGATAGACTTCATCGTTGATCAGGTTCTCTGTGTCGAATTCTTCGCTTCGAGCCCAATCTCTCACCCTATCGCCCTCCTCCTGGTCTAGGGTGTCCTTTGCGGCCGATTCTTCGGCCATTTCGAGCCCGTTAAGACCCCTCTTGGACTTCTTGCCCCGGTGTACAGGGCCCGAGAGTCCAGAGTGATTCCTCATTCGTCTCGATGGCGGTCTGCCGCGTTTGCTCGGCGCCTCGACTCCTGGGTGTGCGTGCACATTCTGTGATTGTTGTTGCTGAGGCGGCTGTTGTGTTTGCTGCTGCTGCTGTACGGAATTCGGTGGTTCGATGAGGTCCCAAATGAATGCCTTGATTTTATCGTCGCCCTTGTAACACTGTACGCAAAACAGCAAGATAACGCGGGCTATGTGCTCCACTTGGGCCGGATTCACGGGCCGTCTCCAAGTGCTCAGGGCAATGCATTCGGACCATCTCTGCCAGCCGTAGGTGAGAAGTCCTTTCTCTACGTTCGAACACTCCGACCGGGTCCAGTTGCCAGGGGAGATCTCGCAGAGATATTCGTCGTCTTCGGCTTCGCCGAAGTGACTTCGACGGCCTTTGCCGCCTCGACGGTTCCGGCCCCCACCGTCGCCGTCGTCGTCCGAATCGATGTCGCTCAGCTCTCCCGCGACAGGTTCGTTGGCACCGAAGCGCTTCACCTGCGTTCGACGCCGCGGTTCCTGGAGTATCAATCGTTCTTCCTCGCCTTTGTTCAGCGTATCGACGTCGAGGTTGGCTTTCTTCGCCCATTTCTCCCAGAAGTTCGGATCGTCTACGTCGATGTCCGATCGACTGTTGCTGACCGCGAATGACGCTTTCGAGAATGTGCTGCCCTTGCCCTCCGACTCGATGGTGATCGTGGTCGCTCGTCTCGAGAGGATCTGATCGATGTCCTCCTCACAGAATTTGTCCCCCGCGTTGTCGTCGTCCATGATGGCTCCGTAGGCTCCCTTTTTCAGGAGTTCTTCGATTTCCTGCTTCGACATTTGACCGCCGCTGCCGCTGGTTCCCTCTTTCTGGATGCTCTGCAACACCGCTTTGTCGAGGCCTAGTTTGAGACTAGCCTTGTCGAACATCTCTCGCTCGTACGTGTTACGACAGATGAGTCGGTAGATTTTCACCATTTTCTGCTGTCCGATCCTATGGCAACGAGCCTGAGCTTGTAGGTCGTTTTGGGGGTTCCAATCGGAGTCGAATATAATGCAGGTGTCGGCCGCCGTCAGATTGATACCGAGACCGCCGGCTCGGGTGCATAGCAGAAACACGAACCGGTCGGAGTCGGGCTTACAGAATCTGTCGATGGCGGCTTGACGCATATTGCCCCGAACTCGTCCGTCGAGCCGTTCGTACGGATACTTCCGGTGGATCAGATAGTCTTCGAGAATGTCCAGACAGCGGACCATCTGCGAGAAGATGAGCACGCGATGTCCGCCCTCCTTGAGTCTTGGGAGGAGTTTGTCGCAGAGCACTAGTTTGCCAGAGGCTTGTACCAGCGCCTGCAAGGCGTAGTCGACTGAGCCGCTGAGGCGGGCTTCCTGGAGGATTTGTTCCTCTGCGCCGGCGATCAGATACGGGTGGATACAACATTTGCGGAGCTCCATCATTGTGTTCATGAGTGATGGCACGCTTTGGGAGCCTTTGCAAAGGAACGTGAAATTCTTCTCCAAAATGGCACGGTAGTATTTCTTCTGAACGTTAGTCAGTTCGACCTCGATGATGGTTTCTTCTTTGGGCGCAAGCGACTTCTCGACGTCTTCTTTCAGTCGTCTCAGCATCATCGGCTTGAGTACGGCTTTGAGCTTGTCTACTTGGCCTTCTGTTTTCAGATCACCGAACTCGGCGAGGAATTCCTCGGGACTGTGGAATCGGTCCGGTTCGAGGAAATTGAGCAAAGAGAATAATTCCTCAACAGAATTTTGGAGAGGCGTTCCCGACAGCAGTACGATATGGTCGAACTTGAGAACACGGAGGCCCTCGATCAGTTTGCAGTTCCGGTTCTTCAACCGATGGGCCTCGTCGATGATACAGGCGCGCCACGGAAGGTTGGAAAGCTCTTGGCAATCCGATAGAATCACCTCGAATGTTGTTATGAGCACTTGGAACTTCTGCACCTCCGTGATGCGTTTTCCCTCTTCATCTTTGTAGAACATCTCGTATTCCTGGATCATGTTCCTGCAACGACGTGGAAACGACCTTAAGCGAGTTGACCTCCGAATGGCATAATAGTCATGAGAAACATTCAACCAGGGACGGCAGTCGAAATGAAAGAAATACCATCAGGTAGAAAATTCGATCAGGAAGAGTGAGGGAACACTTGATGAGGGAAGAGGGTCAGTCTAGTGGAGATCCGACCTCAAGACGGAAAGAGAAAAAACACTAACCTCGAAGCACTGGACCCATGATAGGTGATGACGTTGAGTTCGGTCCAGGTCTCGAATTCTCGCTGCCAATTTCCGATGGTCGAAAGAGGCGCGATGATCATGAACGGGCCCCGAATGCCATATTTGACAATTTCGTTCACGAACGACAGCGACTGAATCGTCTTCCCCAGACCCATCTCATCAGCGAGAATGCAGTTCTGGTGATTGTACCAGCAGAATGTGAGCCACGAAACTCCTTCCAACTGATATTCGCGGAGAGTATTCCCATTTCTATATACAGCTGATTCGTCGATCTGTCGCCATTCGTTGGGCTTTGGCCGTTTCTTGATCTTCCACTGATCCTTTGGAGGTGGGTTTCGGAACTTCCAGAAGTGTTCGACCTTGCTCAGGTCGGGCAAATCGTCTTCAACTTCCCAAGTAGCTTCTTCGTAGGGGAGTGCCCGCCACTTGACGAGGTAGTACTTGACGAGTTTCATATCGGGATTATCCTCGTTTCTGATCGAAGTCTCGCCGCCAGGAGCCGCGTCGGCTCCGGAATCTTGTTTCTCTGACGATGATTTCTCTTTGTCGTTGCTGTTGCTATTTTCGTCATCGAGGTCGTCCTTCCTCGCTGTGCCGTCCTCGCTTCCGCCTTCAATGATGTCCATTTTGCTCTCCTCATCACTGTCCTTGATCCTATCGGCAACTTCTCCCTCGACTTTTTCTCCAACTTCGCCGCAAGACGCAGGATCTTTCCCCGCGGTGTCTTGGCTCTTGGATTCATCTACATCCATTTCCTCCTCGTCTTTGCGGTCTTGGACCTCATCGACTGGACTCGCATCTTGGACTTTGTCGTCATCCTCGACCTTTTCCAGCTCATCGTCACATTTTTCCTCTTTCTTGATAGGTTTTTCTTCCTCGGTTGCTTTGCCTCCGTCATTTGTCGGATCTCCCTCCTCGACCTCCTTGGATTTCGTGTCCTTTTCAATGTCCGCTCCCTGTTCGGTTTCCGGTTTGGCTTTTGGAGATTTCTCAGCGCTTGGATTCGACTCAATTCTGTCGTCAGTTGAGATCGCAGCGGACCCGATGTTGTTCTTATCGTCCTTCTGCAAACGGACAAAACGTAAGGAACGATCTGATATTCTCGAGGTACTCACGTCAGCCGCCTCGAGTTGATTGATGGAGAACTCACCTTCTTGAGTTGGTCTTTGTGTACCCAGTGCTCGGTAACGTCGAGGATTCGGTCAACCTCTGTGTAGTCGGGATTGAAAGCCTCGTCTTCGAGAAAGTCCATGATGTTCGAGCTCATGTCCTTCTTTTGTCGGAAGCGGCGGATTTTCGCCGAAACGCGCTTGTCACCCAACTCAAGTTCCTCGGCGGTCTTCCAGTCGCAGTGAATGTAGCTCTGATGTTTGTACTTCACATAGAACTCCTCGACCTCGATGGTCTCAAAGTCAACTTCTGTCTTAATATCTACAGCATCCTCTTTATTTTCGAGATTCTTCGGCACCTTGCGAGTGCTCATTCGGGAAGCAAGGATCTTATCAACCACCATTTGATCCTCGGGCGCTGTCTGCACAACGACTTCGACGTTGCTTTCGACCTTCTCCGTCTTGGCCTGCGGAGAGTCAAAGAACGGTGAGTCGGCAGCCGGATCATGAGCGAGGCGGACAAGACTCGGTCGCCGGGGGAATCCGCGGGAAACCTATGAACGATACGTACCGGCATGAGGAATTCTTCGTCATCCAATTCGAGATCGTTCTCAACGTATTTCTTCCGTTGTCGGTTAGTGTTCCGACCGGATCGTCTTTTGTTGGAATCATCCTCGTCTTCAGGAGGGGCTTGTGCCCGTGGAAGATCGTCTCCGCTGTCCGTCTCACTGCCTTTCTTCTTTCTCTTCTTTGCAGATATTTTCAAGCTGAGCTTTGGCAGTCTGAAATCGGGGGAAAACGAGAGAAATAAGCACACGCATCTTTTAGACACTTTTGGTCAACCGGCTCCGCTGCTGTTGCCACCACCGTCGTCGCCGCCTGAGTAGCATCAGCGACGACAACAACAACAACAACGGTAGCGTCGGCGACGACGAAGACGAAAATCTTCGTTATTTTCGAATGGGCCTCGGGTCAGCCAGAGTTCAATGGCCTCGGCGTGGCACGGCGACGCTGGGCGGTCATTGTGTTGTTGTTGATTGCTACTTAGATTGAAAGGAAGGTTCTGGGCTACGATTCGCGGTGCGGGTTTTCTGACTAGTCACAAGAGCTCTGTCTGGCTGACTAGCTCACCAGTCGAACGAGTGAGTGAGTGCCTGACTGACTGACTCGGTCGTCCGATGCCCGAGAATATTCAGAGAAATATTCTTCAAAATCCCAAACGCGATACTCACTTTTGCTTCTTTTGGTTTTTCTCGAACAAAGCTTGAGCGGCCGCCTTCAGCTTTGATTCCTTGAGATTGGCGGTGATCGCTTCAGCAGAAACGGGTTCCGGTTTATCCTCCTTGGGCTTTTTCTCCTTTTCGCCAGACGACTTCGACGGAGTAGTTACAGCAGCTGCTGCTGTCGCGGCAGCTGCCGACGCCGCACCGATTGCTGTGCTGGCATCGATTTCCGCCAAGTCGGCCGTCAACGGATCAACGTCCTTCGGATCTACAGGTGGAATAGGGCCTTGACTTCCATCGGTGGTAGCGGTGATTTTCGATTTCGAAGTTGCGGCTCCAACTGCCGCCCCCGTCAAATCCGTAGAATCACTGAGAAGCGCTGGCTGACTCGAACCCGTTGAGTCCCCAGCAGTCCCAGTTGGTGCCCCCGTGCTCGAATTGGGGACCGCCGAAGCTTCCGTTGCCTGGGGGCCTTTGCGGCCACGTGGCTTCTTTTGCTTGGCAGGGGCCGTGGGGTCCTGACCGTCCCCCGGTTGGGCTGGCCCCTTGGGCGTCCGCGGCTTCCTCGGCTTTTTCGCCGGGGCGACGCCCTCCTCCGGCGAAATGCCCCCGCCGTTTCCCGACAGCCCTTGTGAGTGAGCGTTGGGATAACCAGGCGGGTATTGGCCTCCTCCTGGGGGGTACTGTATGTTACCGCCCCCCGGTCCAGGGCCAAACTCATAAGGGTTTGACTGGCTTTGCGGATCCCCTCCGAACGGGCCACTCTCCCCACCGAACTGGGGTGGTCCCTGAGATTGTCCCAAAGGGTACGGTGGCTGTTCGGAAGACTCTTGATTTTTGCGCTTTTTACCCTTCTTTTTCTCGGGTTGAACAACGTCTGAGACGGAATGACCCTGTTGTGAGGGTTGCTGCTGCGATGTCGCGAGCGGTGCTTGGGTCGGGGTTTGCGGCTGAGCCGTCTGCAGAGATGCTTGATGAGGTGCCTGCTGACTCCATGAAGGAACTTGACCCTGGGAGGATGGTCCACTCCCGTAGGACATCTGGTATGGATCATAGGCAGATTGAGGTGCCTGCGGTCCGCCCCAGGACGACGCGGATTGCGGTCCGGCGCCCTGGGTGGATTGGCCCCAGGGCGATCCCTGGCTCCCACCGTATGAGCCCATTGATGATTGTTGGGAATGAGACTGTTGGGCCGTCGGACCTTGAGGACCTCCGAGCTGCGGAGACTGCGCGGCTGGGGGCACTCCACTACTACCCATTGACATTGCACCTGGTTGTTGATGGAGACCCATCGAAGGAACCTCTTTCTCAGCCTCGTGTTGCGCTTGGCTCACTGAAGACTGAGTCGGAGGATCCGGAATGGGAGTGTGTTGTCCGTTCTCATCCGAGGGCTTGACTTCTTCACCACCTCTGACTTCTTCCGGTATCCCTAGCGACCCCGAGGACGCAAGCGGAGGCTCATCCAAGACCGGCGGTGGACCCGAGACCGTCGGATCTGAAGTAGGGAACTTGTTCGACTCCTGAGATTGTTGGACCCTGCTCTGCGAAGACGAGGTGGAAGTCGGTTGGTCCAGGTTGAGATTCTGCGAGTCGCTATCCGACTTCACTGAAGCCTCTCCACCCTCGTGATCAGGCTTCACTGGACCCCGCTGCAAGCAAGAGGAACGCTCGTGAGTAACGGAGAGCTGGAGTGGCTATAGTTCACGACCCTCGAAGATCAGAACTCGGTGGAATCACACGATAGATCACCCGAACTCACTAAAAAATCCGGAGGTTTCGGTTGTAGGAGGCGAGCCCCTAAAGGGTCATTATCTGCGGGCATGAGGTCAGGCTTTTTGAGGTCCGATTGATTCTGGCCAAGAACAAGGCCAGCATTACTTGGATCGTTTTTCTGTTCCATCTGAGATAGTGATTGTTGATTATCACTGCCCGACAAATGGCCCATCATAGCACCAGTAGATTGATTGGAACCATCACCTATGAACGAAAAATCAGATTTGAGTTCCAAGAATGCGGCTTCGACCTAATAGTTGGATGCACTCCCACGAGGGAGCCGATTGTCAGCCAATTGTCATGGCTATCGGGATTCGCATTGTTTCCTTGCAAAAAAAACATCGTGTATCACTCACCACCATACATAGAGTGCTGCGAGGAACCTCCAGACATTGGTCCCCCTTGCGGAGTGTAAGGTCCAGCTTGCTGTTGCTGCTGTGTTTGTTGCTGTTGCTGCTGCTGCTGCTGTTGTTGTTGCTGCTGCTGCTGTTGTTGCTGCTGCTGCTGCTGCTGCTGCTGCTGTTGTTGTTGTTGTTGCTGCTGCTGCTGCTGCTGGGAATGACTCGACTGAGCGTGGCTCGGCCCCATCGATGCCTGGCTCTGTGGTTGTTGGGTCATTCTCTCCTGTGCCCCGTACATTTGACTCAGGGGGTCCAACTGTTGTTGGTGTCCCATAGCCGCTTGCTGTTGACTAAGCTGTTGTTGCTGCTGCAATTGCGGGCTTGACTGTGACAAAGTTGACTGCATGCTCGCTGCATGTTGTTGCTGCTGCTGATGACTCATCTGCTGCCCGGTCATTTGTTGATGCTGTTGTTGTTGTTGCTGACTCATCTGCTGCGCCAACAATTGCTGTTGCTGGCTGCTGTCCATTTGCTGTGCCATCAACGCGGGATGGATCTGCTGGCCGTACATCGGGTTCTGGCCGGCAGCCATCGCTTGCCGCATCTGTTCTGGATAAGCTTGCGACGGAAGATAACCTTGAGGGTATTGCGGATGACCTGCCATCGGACCTCCGGTAGGACCGCCAGGACCTGGTCCCATGGCACCGTAGGGGCCCTGTTGCTGCGCCTGTTGCTGTTGCTGCTGTTGTTGCAGTTGCATCATCTGCATCTGGCGCTGCTGAGCTGCCGCTCCCCGGCCCCGTCCTGTGCCAGCTGGAAAAGGATCAGCGATTTAGATCGAGTAGCGACGGCCACGCTCCGATCGTGCTGATAACGCATTCGGGATTCTCTAGAGACTTTTTTCGGAGCGGGGAAAAGAGGCCAGGGTCTTGGACACTTACGTTCTTTCTTCTTGCGTCCCCGTCCTCTCGATCCGCGTCCTCTGGTCGGAGCAGGAGGTTGTTCGCCTGCGGTCATCAAATCATCCGGCGTCATCATGTAGGGATCGTTCGTCGGTGGTACTTGCGGCCCTCCCGGATAACCGTGGGGTACGAGTCCGCCCTGAGCGGCGGCCAACTGACTCGCCCGCTGGTATTCGTCGACCATCATGCCAGAAGCCGAACCGGCGGAACCGGCTCCACCACCGCCCCCGCCACCGGTAGACCGCTGTCCCTGTCCCATATAGCCACTCTGTTGAGAGTGAGCTCCTGCCTGTGGATGCATCTGTGCATTTTGCAGCTGCAATTGCTGTTGAGCTTGGCTTCCATAAGGCGGTAGAGACTCGTCTTTAGGGCCTTGTGGTGGCGGTTGAGCACCCATGGCTCCAGGGTAGCCGCCGTACGATGCGCGCGGATCCCCTGTCGAGAAACCTTGCTGGCCGGGCGCGCAATACGCCTGCAGCTGACGCAGTTTATCGTTGAGCTCTGCGATCTTCGTCACAGTATGCGTCGTCTGAGTCAAAGAGTAGAGGTGCTGCAACTGTTGCTGGTATTGCTCGTACGCGTGCTGCGTACTCGCTGGCGGACCGCCATACTCCGAGGGTCTCCCCGCGCTGCCAGGTGGACCTCGTTGACCGTACGGATCTGTGGGATCATATTCCATTTGGCCAGGCGGTCGTCGAGATGACAGCCCTGCTGGTTGGCCGTAGCCTTGCGGGTATTGCGATGACGATCCGTAACCAGGGTAACCTGAAGAGATCGAGTTTCACTTGAGTCTCCATCCGATTTCCGAGCTCGCCGATCACGATCGAACACATCGTCAAGATAAACAGACAGCCAGACAGGCAGACGGACGAACGGACAGACAACCGCGTCGATCTTTCGGAGCCCCTGACTGCCCTGGAGCGTAATCATCCAAGATCACTAGAAGAGGAAGGAACTTACCACTCTGAGGGTGGCCTGTAGGTGGTTGGCCCTGTGCATAGTAGGCCATCTGGCTTGACGAGGGTCCCTGATTCCCGACAACGCTCGACGACGCCGATTGTTGGGCGGATGAAGCCCCTGTGGATTGAACATGCGGTCAGAACCCCTGGATGAAATGCGAAATTGCCGAGCTCCGAACGAAGTTTTAGCATGGAATTGAGTTAGGTACTCACGTTTTGTCGAAGACGTGGTGGAAGACCCACCCATATGCGGCATCACCATCTGCTCCAGTTGCTGCAGTGAACTCGATCCCGACGAGGGTCCACCGGGTTGATTGCTAGGCACCGGTGCACCGGCCGCTTGGCTCGCTGGAGACATGCTTGCATTACTGCCCCCTTGGGCGGGACTCGACATTTGGGAAGGACTCGGACAGTAACCCTGAGATTGGGATACCCCCTGTGAGCTCGGCATCGGTGATGCGGAGCTAGCCGGGGGCGTAGGAGTAGGTCGTCTGTGGGGAGACGGAAAACCTCGCGAGTACGAAGGTGAGGGAGACGGCGTCGTCGGGTTGCCCGGCGTCCCCGGCTGCGTCGACGGCGTGAGGGGACCACCAGGTGTACCCGGATTGGCGGGAGTGCTTGAACTACCCAGAGGTGTACCGGGCGCCGTGCTGAACGACGGTGATGACGACGGATCGAGAGCCGCGCTCATCTGATTCATCGAAGCCGAGGAGTTCGCCATAGTTGAGCTTTGGCTGCTTGAGTACTGGCTGTACGGCGAGTACGGCGCTCGCTGATCCGTCGGCGTCCGAGACGGTGAAGGATAGCTTTGTTGTGCTCGGCTCGTGGGCCTCTGGGGGGTCGCACTCATAGGTGCCATAGGATTCGGATATACGCCCATCGACCTAGAGTGACCACCCTGGCTTTGACTTGGTTGGGCTCCTGCGGCTTGCGCAGATACGAAGCCTCCTTGAGCTGTCTGGCCGTAACCAGAGGGGTACCCTCCGCTGCCGGCTCCTCTTTGGCCCGGCTGCGCCATCTGACCATATCCTTCAGGATAGCCTCGCTGACTTGCCGTGGTGGGGTAGCCCGTGGCGTAACCTTGCCCTGTGGCGGTTCTCCCCCAAGGATCTCTGTGGTAGTTGGGATAGCCTGCTTGCGACGCTTGACTTGGATGTCCAGGATAGCCTTGTCCTTGGTAGCCTTGAGGAACCGACTGCTGCCCGAAGTCGGAACCCGCTGACTGAGGATAGCCAGGGTACATCTGCTGCTGCTGTTGCTGCTGCTGCTGCTGGCTCTTCTGTTGATCCATGGACTGGCTTTGGCCTCCACCGTAAGCGCCCTGACCCGCCATTTGGGACATGGCAGCCTGGCCATAGCCGGCCTGAGCCCCCATTTGGGACATCATCTGCTCCATAGATCCATCCATTTGTCCTGCGGTCGGCTGGCCGTATTGACCGTCAGCACCAGGACCCATGGACATTTGATAGTCCGCCATGTCGTGGTGGTGGTCCTGCTCGGACCGAACGGACTATGCGTCGGTTAAGAACAACGATTTCCCTGCTCTGATCTGTAGAACATCTTTGCGTTCTCACTGTCCGGCGGATGGAATCGCTCCGACCGGTTGGGTTCTCTTATATTATTTCTCTGTTCCTTCCGACGACGACTGCAATATACTATGTACAACAACCGCGCCGTCCATCAACTCAACGAGGGGGTTGTTCGCGTCTGTGTACAACAATAGACGTCTTGGCCGTCCCGCGTTCTCCTTCCAATTATAATCGGCGACCGAGTACAGCTCTGAAATGAACAGAAAACAGGAACTTCAGTGTTTCTCCAACGATGACATAACCTGTCCGAACCGGAACCTAGAGCTGGGAAGGTATCCGCAGTCTTCGAATTCTATACCCTGTCGTCTCTACCAATCGACTCTAGCTCCTATGGGTGTCGGAGGACGGACACGATGAAGCTGTGGGTTTCGCGGAGCAGAATGCTCACAGCACCAGCCGCCACCATAACAAAAAAAAGATGCCCGAGTCGCACGTTTTTCTGTCAGCCAACGCGGCACCACCTTGGTGAACCCTGGCTTCGAGGCACGCTTCCAGTCGATTTATCCGCAAGTCGCCCCCCTGGAGGGTCGCCGCTCAGTCCGTGCACTCCAAGTAGTGCATTGAATCTTTCTAGGATTTCCGCGAGAGGAGTCCAGCCCCGCTGAGCTCCGCGAGCTCCAATCCAGAGGCGGTCAGAGGTTTCCGCTCGACACAGACAAAGGCTCCCAAGAACCGAAGTGCAGTTGTGACGGGAGCGATCGATTACGAACTCTCAACGATTATCTGCGATGCTGCAAGACTGCGGGAACGAAGCGTCTCGAGATCGGGGGATCATCGCGCCACTTTCTCGCTCACACGATTCTCGAACGGGGCCCTCCACCAAATCAATGTCGCGTTCCCGACCGTTCGATAACGCATCGAGGTATTTCGGAGAGCGTTCGCAGGGGGCACGAGAACCAACGGCGGTACCATTCATAGCAGTGGCCGCTGCCGTCGTTGTTTCGGTCGCTCTGGAGCACCTCTTTTACCGGCGTCCCCGTCAAGACCCACGAATCACTTTCCGTCACAAACACAGGTCGACGAATCCGATATCACTCAAGCCACCAGAACTCCTGTAGCAACTGAAGAGGCAAGTTGTGCAGAAACGATATCCCGAAGACAACTGAGGACACGCACGCACTCACTCAGAAGAACTACGACAACGAGGACGACGACACGTTTTGCTTGAGATAGATCCGACACATTCAGATCGGTGGTCACAGCAGTGGTACTAGAAGCAGCAGCGGTCGTAGCCGCAGCGGTTCGTGCTGTTGGTCTCCAAAAGGGTCCAATGAGCGTTTTTTTTCTGTCCTACTGTTTGTTCCTACGGTTCGGCTACGATTGTTTATTTTCCAATGCCCGTTTCTCGGGGAGCACGACTCTCTCACGCGGCGACGACGACGAGTTCGAGCCGGAGCGATGGCACATCGATTCGAGGAAATCTCGCTCGGAAACTCATCGAACCGGGTACTACAACAAACCGTCCGAGCGAAGGAGGCCTAGGGTACAATACCGCTGCTGCAGCAGCAGCAGCAGAACGAGCTACCGTAGCGGGAGTCGTAGAACTTGAGAGCTCACTTGGACTCACACCGGCGGCGCGGGTCGCTCGCTCGAGGAGTACACGAGCGAAGACGTGCTTGCTTCGGAACACTCACACATGATGCGCGAAAGTTCGCCTAATTTCCAACATACACCGTCGGCCCGAACGGATTAATGCGGGCGCATTGCTGGCGGAGGAGCGGCGTCGCTCACCGAGAAAAAAGAGATGATGGCGGCCGCCGCCACCCAGACCACCATCACCAACACCGATGGATGAAAATATAGATGAATGTACCGAGTGAACTTATGCGAAGGTGGCGGCGTTCGGCAGGACTTTCAGGCCGCCGAGGAAAGCAAGCGCCCGATCGAGCCTTCCGCACGCAGGATCGATGGGCGGTCGGACGAACTTGCTCGACTGTCGACTGACTGACTGACCGAACGAGCGAGCGAGCGCCGCTGCTCGACTGACTGACTGACTGACGACTGGCGGCGGCGGCGGCGGCGGCCGAGTCTGATCCGAATAGCTCACAACGACACTAGGTAGACGACTCACAGGCAAGCCCTAGGATTCGCTATCGAGCGTACTCGGCTCGATGCTCGCTTCCGACTTGCTGAGGGCAAGCAAATCTGTTGAAAATTCATCAAGTTCAACGGCCGATTCCGGTAGCTGGCGGCGAGCGTCACCGCGCCGCTTCTTGCTTGCTTGCTTGCTCGCCTGGGCTCGCTCGCTCACACACAACACACAGACGCACACACACACTCGCACGGTCGACAGGTCTGAATTCGGCGGATAATTTCCCTCGAGTTCAGTTGCTCACCTCTTAAAGGCCGAATGCGGCGTTAGTTTCGCCAGCGTAGACGGAAATTCGGCCGAAAATCACGCAATTCGCCAGCGTACTCTCAATGCCTATGTACACAGTCACAAACATTGCTCTATACACACACAAAACAATAGCCGTTCAATGGCGGCGCTGCTAGTCGACGACGAAGACCGCCATTTTGAATCGCCAGAGCTAGGCTCTCGGCGTCACCAGCTCACGATCAGCTCCTTCGTAACGCCGGAACGACCACGGCGACCTCTTGAGACCGATTCATAGAAAGCGCAGAAACGGCGCCCGGATTCGAAAAAAGATCATCGCATGGCACTTTCTCGATCATCGTCGCGAGATAGAGCTCCCTCATATGTAGTCGGTATTGATGCCTAGGTCTGAACCTCGTCGCGCCTCCCTTCACCGCAGATTACGTGAGGGCTGTGTTTCGTTTACCTCATTAACGTTTCCGAGTGTGGACGCCTAGCGTAAGCGTGATTCTCACACGTGTTCTTAGCGTGGGAGAAATTCTATCATGGAAGATCGATCACGCGGATCGGCTTTTTCATTGGAGCCAATCGGCGTCACCTGCAATTGTCGGCGGGATCTCTTAGGAGCCAACTCGTCGCGGCGGCTTGAGACACATTGAATCTCGGAATCGGAAGCGGAACGGAAGCAGAAACTCTAAACTCTCGTGAGAACGCGAATCGAGCGCCAGTTGCAGCAGCAGCTAAGATCGGCATGCCAAGCAGAGAACAACGCGATGAAAGCCAATATTTCAGACGATGCCGGCGGCTCTCACACCGCGGGCGAGCTGCGATCGACGCGCACGGAATAACGCTAGCGGCAGCCTCGAGCTTCAATGCGGAGGTGCCATCGCCGCGTCGTCGCCGTCGACGACGCCGGCGCTGCCAGTGACATAAGGCACGCAGCAGCGGCCACGGTTTCGATGGAAGCAGGTCTCGAGGCAAGAAGCGAATCGATTGTTTCAATCGCTGAAAACCTCGAGTTTGAGCTTATGAACTTATTTTTCACATATATTCGATCGAGAGTAGCCCGATGCCCAATCGAAACGAATGCGAGGGAAAGATAGAGACGGTTGATGTGGAATATCGACGGGAACATCGGGGAGAGGTGGGGACAAAGATTCTTGCTGACTGAGTGCAGCTGAGGAGGCTGAAGCTCGCGAAGATTCCACGAGCGATGACGAGTAGAGAGAGGAAAGCCGACGACGCTCCTTTCGTCGGAGAGAGAGCGCCACATCGCCGCCGCCGGGAGTTTTGACAGGCGGCTCCAGATCACAATCATCAGCTCATTCCTCTCCCATTCGACTGCCGGCTCGTATCATCATCATGACATGACAGTTCAGCCGAGAATCGGCTCTGTCCGCCGTGGTTTTGCGAAACTCCCCGGGCTCAGTTGAGGAATTGTATGAGGGCTGTTTAGGATGGCCGTAGGTCCTGAAGGGCTCAGAGTGGCTTGCTAATTCTCTGTAGTCGGGAACCTTCGAGCTTTATGCTTGATCTCTGCTTTCGACCCCCTTATCTCGAACTTGACGCTGAGCTCGAGAAGGCTCCTTGGCGACCAGGCCTCCCAGCTCGCGCGTCGCGCCAGGCGAACGCCGAGTTCCAGCTTGACCGGCTCATTGGCCACCAGCTCCAATGAGGATGAATGAGTCGGATCCCAATACTTGGGAAGGGTTCAGGTCCGGGTGCGCCTCACATTTGCTGGCGTAAGAGTCCCTCTCTTCCGGTTGCCGAGTCCGGAGGAGCCCAATGGAGACTTCGGATCGTCCCGGCCGACGCGACGATCTTGAATAAAGCTCGCCGACATCCCCCTTATTGCTCTCCGACACCTTCCAGCGTAGGATACTCCTGATGATTAACCGAGGACAAAACAGTCGAATCTGCGCGATCCGAGCCCCCGGACTCAGCCATCCGTGGATCGAAGCATCGCTTTGAGGAAGGTGCTTCCCGAAGACTAGGAATCGACTGATGCATAAAATACACCGACATCTGGGCTATCAGCGGAAGGCTTCTGACGGCGATCCCGGAGAGCGATCTTTCAATAGCGTTCCGGCTCTCGCGTACCGAAGGTGGTGTATCAGGCCCTCGCAGCCTGGTTATGAAGTCTTGGAAGTGACCGGAGAGGTCGAACTCATAATAACAATCGCTCATCGTCGGAGCCTCCGTGTTCCACAATAGGTGTACTGTTCTTGAGGAGGATGTAGCAATCGGTGCGGTTTCATGGAAGGTCTCCAACACGAATTTACTTTCCAGGAGAGTGATGTCACTTCCCCTCTATTTCTTCCGGCATATCTTTGTCCGGTCAGCGCCAGTATTTTTCGTATAAGCCTGCAGAGGAGAATGGACCAAATTGACTACCGACCATGCTCATGCGGCGCATCCAGGACTCTCAGGAGAAAAATCTGTTCCATGATGACCAGGAACCATGACTCGTAGATCTATTCCACGTTGAGGAATGAGCTGTCTAGCATAGGATCCATCGCCCCCACGGGACCCCTTTACCTGCCTCGCTCCATTATTTTACAGCATTGAAAT